CCGAGACTTAATGCTAGAAATCATTACATGTTTTAATGTAAAAGAGATCAAACAAATATATTAATGAAAGCACCTATTAATCAAATGTGTGCAAGCGCGAACAAACTGTCTAACGTCTGTGACATTTTCTGCTGCAGTTTTTCAGAAATAAGAACCCAGTTTCGTGTCAATTTGTAGTTTCGCTAATGTTAGTTTTGGGTAAATTTAGTGCATTAATTGTTTTTTATTACCCATTAATCTGTAAAAGGTGTATACTGTTGGGCAATATATGCTTTATTATTATTATTTATTATTATATTCACTGTAGACTGTCGAATTACAAGACATATACATGCTAACAGTAATTACACAATGCGGGCGTGGTGGTGATTTCCCGTAATTATCTTCAAAGCTTATGAAAACACAAAAAAAAAAACAGTAAAAATCGCAATTTATAAGTTTGAGAAAGGACAACATATAAATAACCCGTTGGGCACAGCTAACAGATATCTGATCAAAATCGTATGTACATTTGGACGCCTCCTATTCCTTTCAGAAGCATTTAACTGCGCCATACTCGCATTCCTACGTGCTCAGGCAGTGATACCGTCCAGATTGTTCAGCAGCGTGAAAACAGCATTTCTTCTCTCGACTTTAAATAGTACGAAAGTAAATCAGCGAAAGTATGTGTTGAGTTTATTGTGCGGAAAAGCTAAAGCCTATACTTGTGGAACACCGGTGCTGAAATTTTGTTGCTACGCAGCAAGTTCACCAGAGAGATTCCAAAAGTTTTGTAAGCAGAAATACACGAAATTCCACTTTCTGGTTCTGGGCAGTTGTTTATCCCTCCTCTATGTAAATGAGAACTTCGTACAACGAGCACTATAAGCCAAACTGGAATTTCCACTAACATGCACCGGATTTATCTGAATCTCAGCTCAGCTCTTACATACCCGAAATCTAACAGCCTCACAAAACCCCATGCTTCCGAGGAAATTTAGTAAAATCATATAAAGTTCATAACGTGGCAGCACTTGCGAGAATTCTGGAGCTAAAGACATTAGATAAAATCGTGTCTCCATGATGACGCCGCGGTATATTCAACGTTGCGTTGCATTATGCATGTATATGTTTGCTTGTACCCCGATGATAATGTAACATGCTGTACCGGGTAATTCTCTAAGGTGGCTCACCCGTATAACCTTTTTATTATCGAAGATAGAAAAACGAAATTTGGGGGTTGCGTAAACGTTATGATAGTCATTATTTAAATGGGTGATACAGGGGTTAAAAGAAGCAAAAAGTTTCATATAACATGGGGGTCAAAACGGCATTTTTTTAGAGAAAAGCGACTTTAAAGTAAAATAAAATCTGACAACGCCGCAATGCCAAACGCAAATTACGACGGAACGCAGTGTAAATAAAGATAGAATTTGTTATTTTCGGCTCTTAGGTATTATTTCATTATTTGATAATGTTCTCGTAAAATGCAATCAATTAGAAAAACGGACTTATCACTAACTGTCTCAGCGCTTCACCTGCTGTGTGAAAGTTTATTGCACGTATTAAAAAAATCCACTTATAAATAGGGAACACAGTTTTGATACATGCATTGCTTTTCTTTTTAAAACCAACAATGCACTTTTTTTGTATTTAAAGGTGTTCAAAATGTCGTCCTTCACTTTCCACACAAGCCTCATTACGACGAACCCAGTTTCTTCTTACTCTAGGTCCTCGAAGTTGTCCATTTATTATTTCAGCCGCATTAAAATCTTTTACGCGAAGTTTTGCTTCAGTTGTTATTGGACCAGCCCCACAAACCATCCCTTTAAGTTCTCTAAGGAATGGAGCATTTCGACCGATCCAGCGATTTGGATAATGTTCATTCAAATACTGAATGACGCCTCTAAAGATGTATGGTGGTGCCCCGGCATGAAGAAACCACAAATTCTGTCCCCGTTGTAGTGGCATGTTGTCTAAGGTCTGTTCCAAAAGTTCTGGTATGTTATTGGCTAGAAAGCTAAGGTATCGTTCTCCTGACAACTTTGGGTTTAACTCGAAAGGGAAAATTACCTGATCGTCAAGAATACCCGCCCAAATATTTATTTTAAAATGTTGTTGGAAATGACCATCACGAATGGTATGAGGATTTTCTTGGGCCCACGTGTTAAAAAAAATTCGGATTTTCAATGTTTTTGTGCAAAAACCACTGACAGAATGTTAGTCTGTGAGCATAGTCTTCTGGTAACAAGGCCTGCACTCGTTGTGCATGGTAGGATTAAAGCAAATTTTCCCGTAGGATTCTATATAGACTGTGGTGTGCGATAGTTCTACGCGGCGGCTTAGTTCCCGAGTGCTGATAGCTGCATTGATTTACACAATATTTAAAATTTGTTGCTCCTGCTCTACAGTAACCTGTCTTTCACGAGTCTGTATGAGTGGGCTGAACACTTCCTATATCTCGAAGTCTTTGGTACACTTGCACAAATGTCCTTCTGTCTGGGTGTACATGTTGGCGAAATTGATTTATTTATTTATTTATTTGCGGTTAGTACACTGCTCGAACAGATGATTCCATTTAACGAACAGGAAATATACGAAATACAAAAAAAAAAAGAAAAAAAATCAATAAACAACGTAACAAGTACATCTAAATAAGTTCTTAACCTACAGTCAAAAACGACCTTTTTAAAAGTGATATAGTGCAATGAAAAATGTCTACTAAATTCTTTACTTTTTCATAGTTTTTAGACATTACATATAATAGCGAAAAAAGTAACACATTGGTATGAGGCACAGGTAAATAGAAATTGGTATTGTTAAACCTTATGTTTCGGTACGGTACGTGTAATGACAGCTTTTCTGAAAGAAACTGGCAATCAACTGTGTTGTTCAAAATTTTATATAAGAAAACCACAGCGCAGTAATTTCTGCGCTTAGATAAATTTACCATATTAAATCTACTGAGCAATAAGTCATTGCGAAATCCAGCATCAGGATAAATCCCATCTTCCTTAAACTATAAATATTTAGCAAAACGTCGCTGGATCTTTTCAATGCTGTCCGAATGTACATCATATGCAGGGTACCAAATTATACTACAGTATTCGAGCTTACATCTAACAAACGCATTGAATAACAATAAAAGAGTTTTAGCATTATTGAAGCTCTTGCCACACCTAAGTATGTGTGTCTTGTGTGCACCGGTTACAATTGCAGTAATGTGTTGCACAAAAGTTAACTGTGGGTCGAAAGAAACACCTAGATCCCTCACAATGGAACAACCATCCAAGACTTGACCATTTATGTGATAAGCATAATCAATTATATTCTGCTTACGTGTGAAAGACATAGTCTGGCATTTTGTAATATTCAGATACAGCTGATTCAGGCAACACCACTCATACAGACGTACTAGTTCATCCTGAAGCTTCACACAATCGACAATTGAGTCAATTCTAGAAAATAATTTCAAGTGGTCTGCGTACAATAAGTTGCAACAATTTAGTTGGCCACTGAGATCATTCACAAATATAGCGAACAATAGCGGACCCAGGACGGAGCCCAGGGGCACCCCAGATGCCGCAGAAACACTGACAGACCTAAAACCACGGTACTCAACGAAAAGTATTCTGTCCAACAGATGAGATCTGAAGAAATTTGCGAATCCAAATGATATACCACATCTTAAAAGCTTCTGTATTAGTACTCCATGGTCAAGTCTGTCAAATGCTTTTGAGAAATCCGTATAGATAACGTCAATCTGTCCGGAAGTATCTTAAATTTCAGCAGCATGCTGTTTGAAACATGCAAGATTAGATGTAGTCTACCAGGAGAAAAGCCATGCTGATGTGGAGTGATGATGTGTTTCACATGAGTGAATATGATTTCGTGAACAACAGATTCAAATACTTTAGCAGTATTACTTAGCATCACAATAGCTCTATAGTTTTCAATATTATTTCGGTCACCTTTTTTGAAAACAGGAGTAATGCGAGATTTTTTCCAAACCTTAGGATAACATCTCTGTTCCAAAGATAAATTAAATAGAAAAGTGAGAGGCTCAGCGAGCACATGACAACAATCTTTAAGTAAAAAAGAAGGTACACAGCCAAAATTTGATTGTTGTTGACAAGGTTGTTGTCCATATAGTCAACATAACTTGGTATATTAAAATCACCTAAGAGGACTAATTCATTATCAGAATTAAAATAATCAACTACCAGAATATCACCAAAAACTGACTCTTAAATGTCTGCAGACAGATTTGGAGGAATATATACGAGTATGATAATAGCGGTACGCCCCAATCTGTCAATATAAAATAGTAACAATATCGACAGATGATACACTGCGTATCAAGTCGATTTTACTGACTGAATGAATTATGAACTGCTACTAGTACACCTCCGCCTCTGTTAACGCCCAGTGCATCATAATTCCTGTCTGTCCTGTACAAGGTGTAGTTTTCTCCTACTAGTTCAGAGTCATGTATAGAGGCATTAGCCCAAGTTTCAGATAGTGCAATGATATCATACGCACAAGAATAGGAAGCATTAAGAAGTGTAACAGTTTTAGTCCTGAGACCTCTCACATTCTGATAATATATACTTAAGGCATGAGAATTCTGGGCAATGTTGGGTTTATCCGTGACGATTCTAGGAGCTACATTTGAGATGTCCGAGTACAGCAGTGATTGCTACTCATTACCAAGCAAAATTTTCTTATACTCTATTAGTTTATCCTTATAAAACTTACATTTACTGGAGTCCCACGCAGCATGATGTACATCAGGATATCTAGCATTGACACAGTTGTTACACTTCAATACCTGTTCCGAGCATTCAGAGATCATATGAGGTTGAGAACACTTTATACATACTTGCCTATCACTTTTACAAAATTTTGCATAATGGTTTAAACCACAACATTTAAAACAAACTTTTAAATCAACAGCATCATATACTTTACAAATATCAAAATTTACAAGAACATGTCCCCGTCCCAATAACTTTAAATACGTAGTGTTATCAACATCAACTATAGCTTGAAAAACTCCGGGTGATTTCTTAGTAGGCCATAGTTTCAGCACTTTACATTCACTGGAGTTCTTAAGTACAATGTTCTGCGCAATCAAATTAGAGTGCAATTCGTCTAGAGACATGCTTTCAGAAATGCCCACGATTTTTAATCTAGGGTTGTTCCTCTTGATCTCCCTGACTTCATATTCATCTGAGAGATGCTGGGACGCTAAACTCATGAGTTTTTCAGCATCAGTAAAACTGTTACACTTTATTAACAAACCACCATCTTTGACATGCTTCATGAAAATCTGATGCTGCTGTCGACTGGATTAACAGCCTGATGTATTTTCAGTTTGGTTTCAGTGTTAGATTGACCTGCATTTTTTGGTTTCACCAAGACATTGACAATATTATTTCTCACAGCGTTTGCATAACTAAGTAACTGCCCTGACGCGACACGACAATCAACACTAGATTCCAGTTTTTCTTCAACTTTAACCATTAACTTAGATTGTGCCTCAGAAAATAAATCAAATACATTAGTAACCATTTTGTTGATCCTTTCTTCAAAATTAGTTTTATACCATTCTTCATAATTCTTTTTGCGTTCAGTGCATTCTACACAGTACCAAAAAAGTCCAGGCGTTTTAATCACTTTTAGAACCTCAGTCACGACTCCAACACAGGAAATGTGGTAGCTATGCTGGCAAAAACCATCACAAGAAATGCTGGGTTTCAGACGGCTAAACGCCAAATGGCAGTGACCACATGAATTTTCCATTATTTAGGATATTGACAATCAATTTTCGTGCATAATAACTGCACACAATGAAATAACCTAGTTTACTCATGCATTGGAAACTCACTCCACTATTTTCACATGCGCATTACCACTCACAAATCAGAAAAAACTGTTATTAAACGGGATAGACTATGTTTACAGATTGTGCTGGTACAGCAACTTGAATTCGCTGGTGTTAGCCCCATTAAATTTGAGAAATACCATAGCACTTTTTAGAACGTGTTAACTGCAAAATGATCTTACACCGGACGTAAGCAATGTCCAAACTTCGTATCTCTGTCTTTAATAAAAAAGCTAGCGGAGCTACTTAAAATCGTATAATATCTCACACTATCCATATTTGACATTTTATGTTGTAGTCGATTGGTACTACTTTCTCTCTCTCCTTCTCTCCCTCTTTTACCAATGTGCGTTCTAATCTGGAGTGAACCCTCCATGCTACCAAAAGTCTCTTTATTACATAGTTTGCATTCCTGTTCTCTTGGTAGGTAGACCGATTTAGTAACGGATTCCTGATTGCTGCCATAACTGTTTCTAATATTCAATAGGCCGTGTTCTTTCCACAAAATACAAGGCAGTTAGTGCTCTATACTGATTTTGTGTCGACAGAGGCGCTGCTAGTGGTGGCTAGAACCTCGCCAACTGATTTGCTGACTAATGAAAGACTTTCTATAAAAAGGGTGCAGGAGCTAGGAGTGATGAAAGACGCAAAAAATCTTATTAAAAATGGTTTATTTTGACCCTCTCAGATATAAGTTTTTGCTTATTTTAGGTATTGTATTTAAACTTTCTTTAAATCAAGGAAAAAATTGTTGGGCACTTGATATACCTCATCGTCTTATGCTATGACTGATTCAAGCCTTCCGAAAACCAGTAGACGTTTCTAGATATTCGGAATTTTTTTGTCTTTTTTGGCAATTAATGTTAACAATTCCCAGTAATTTCCCCTATTGTCAGAGTCATCCCCTTCAAAATGACCCCGAAATGGTAATTCTTGTTTGGCCAAAAAAACATACAGCATCTATAAGTGTGCTGCCTAAAAGCTTGGTTAAGACAACTTTAGATTCTTGTTTTGCCAAACCGAATCAAATTGGCTTCACATCTCACATGTAAAGGAGAAATTTCGTGTCTCCTCTTTAGAACCCTAAAACTATTTAAATCGTTGCTGGTCCACCCAATTTCTGTAGAAAACAGAAGACATGGCCAACAATACAATCTGTTTTTCTTGCAACCACATAACCAAGAGTTTTCAATATACTAAGTGACATATAAATCCGAACACCCAGTTTAAATGGTTGAAAGATGTCATGGTCAAAAGAGCAGTGTGACATACTACTAAACGAGTATGAGAAATATGATTATCTATATGCTGTAACAAGCAAGGACTATAAAAACAGAAATGCCAAATCAGCTGCGTTGGACAAAATCAGAATGACTTTAGACCCAATTAGGCCTATAAGCTTTTAGCAATTCGCAACGTAAGGTGTGGTCAGTATAACTTGACGAGATAAATGGCAGATCGAAGTTGACAGTTATAGCTTTTTTCTACCGACTGCACATGATTTCATACGAAATTCATTACAAAAATTTCTTTACGTGACAGGATTGTAATTTGTAAACTATACTAAGTGACATATAAATCCGATCACCCAGTTTAAATGGTTTTATTTTAATAAAAGTTGGTGAATGTATTTATATTACTGTAAATAACAAGTGAAAAAATTTTCAGCCTTATCAGTTGGACATTCCGGTTTTTATACTGCTGTTTTTTAATTCACTAACGCTCTAAAAATGAATATTTCAGCCGCAGTAAAGAATCAACGTTGGCGGATTTTGGTTCTTGACATCCTTTACGATCGGTTACGATGCCTAGAGTACGGAGACCTGTACGATTTCGTCAACTTAGTGAGTTTGATAGGGGCCGTATAGTGGGACTTCGGGAAGCTGGACTTTCTTTTCGGGCAATTGCAGTTAGAGTGCAAAGAAGTGTAGACACTGTGGTTAGGTGTTGTCAGGCATGGCTTCGAGAAGGCCGTACGCAAAGAGCAAGGGGCACTGGACGCCGCCGTAGAACAACAGACCGTGAAGATCGCTGCCTAAGATTATTGACCTTAAGGGACCGTTTCTCCACTACCAGGTCCATTGCAAATGAATGGTTTGCAGAACACGGAAGACCTATTGGCATACGAAGTGTTTACCGACGAATGAGAAGTTTTGGCTTGTTTTCATACCGGCCACACTGGGTCCTCCATTTAACTCGAGAACACCGACGTAATCGCCTTGAGTGGTGGAGACAACGGTCACTCTGGGATCAGGAATGGAACAGTATTGTCTTTAGTGACGAGTCTCGATTTTGTTTAGGCATGCACGATGGTCGTGCCAGGGTTAGAAGGCGACATTGTGAAAGGAGGAATCCACAGTTTTTTGTTGAAAGATATGTTTATCTGACTGTTGGAGTTATGGTTTGGGCTGCTATAGCTTATGGTTCCAGGTCACCTTTAATCTTCATCAGAGGTAACATGAACGCGCAGCGTTATATCCACGAAGTTCTGGAACCCCATCTTTTACCCTATCTTGACACCATGGCAGATCCAACTTTCCAACAAGATAATGCCCGACCACATGTTGCAAGAGTCACAATAGACTTCTTTCAACATAATGATGTCACATTGTTACCATGGCCACCAAGATCTCCCGACTTTTTCCCAATTGAGCACGTGTGGGATATGATGGGTAGGAGATTGCTCAATTTGCAACGTCCTCCTCAGACTCTAGAAGCACTTCGAGAGGAGTTGGTGGTTGCCTGGAATGAGATACCACAGGAGGACATTGACCACCTGTCAGCAGCATGCCTAGGCGCGTTGGAGAATGCGTAGCACATCAGGGTGCATCCACACATTATTAAAGGTCAAAGGGCTTGAAAGCAGTGCAATCATTTTGAAATTTTTATCATTTACTTATTATGCTTCATTAAGTACTTATACAAAATTTTATTAAAATAAAACCATTTAAACTGTTCGGATTTATATGTCACTTGGTATAAATTCTTTCAAAATTTGGTACAAATTATGACCAAAATTTTTTATCGTGACCTTGAAACATTTGTCAGTATCAAAATACAGTAAGAATTTAGCAACATTTACCAGTTACGTTGGATATGCGCATTTGTGAAACTTACTGTATGTTATGTATAAACAATAACAATGTAGGGAGAATTTAATCTACGCGAGAATGCTTCCGGTTAGATACATAAACATATCAACAGGGCTTGGCAACAGATGAGGGTTAGGGAAGTTGTGAAATGCGTTGATGAGATGAGTTATTTGATGATATGTTATATTGGGGAAACATTGTTTGTCTTTATAATTTGGTTGATCAACCAGCTTTTGTTGTCTGGTAATTAAACGCAGAATAGAATATGTAATGTGATTTATCAAGTTGAGGACGAATTCCATTGTTTCCTTGTAATGAAATAGTTTAGGTCATCAGCATAAAAGTATCTAAGCCTTCAGATGTCTTAGTTTCCAATTTGAAATATCAGAACATGGCTACCGTACTAATGCCACTTATATTCTATACCCTTATCCGATCCGCTGAACTTTCAAGTATAATATGTAGAACATTGTCAGGAATTCGTAACAAGGTAGCACGGTATCCCTTACGTGTGCAACTTACTTTATTTCACGAACATAAAAATGGCAATTTTGTAAAATTTATCTATGAAACCAGAGCATCTTGTGGCGACGTATGTATTATGTACCCCGAGAAGATATTATATTCCCTTGACATATTTCCACAGGGAATAGAATGCACACGTACAACAACGGTCTGCATCTTGCCTTTTCGTTTGCAGGCAACGCAACGATTCTTGTGCCGTTTCATATGACTAGATAAATATTTTTATTGTTAAATGGGTTAAACGTGAGGCATTGCTCAGTGATTCCCTTTCCATACTAGCGCGGCAATAGTTGCACAAATTAGATTTAACCTTTTTCATTAAATTTTAAACATTAAGATACAACGATAAACATACAATTTATAAAATTATTTTCTTGAAAAAAAAAATACTAAGTAGGTACTAAAAATCTCAGTATTTTTGTTTTAGATGTTTTAGATCAATCTTATATTAAAGAAACAAAATAAAACAAGATGTATTGAACAAAATTATAAACTTTTAATGCTTATAATATCAGGTAACCAAATAAGTTCATGCGGTTGCTGCATATCGCACATTGCCATGAATCTTGTTGATCTATAGCGATTGTTTGTTACCTGTTGTCACTTTAGTATGAATCCTTCATTTCTCACACACATAAAAAGTTGCTGAAAATTGTTACATACCTAGTTTTGATAATTTAAAATGGCGACGAATAAAACAGTCATTCGTAGTTGTTTACTGTATGAGTACAAACTTGGTACAAAAGCTGCAGCGGC